ATCCAAGAACGGCCGAAACGCGCTTTATTTGCTGAAAAGCAGGTATCGCTGAGGCTCCTTGGCTCCTTGACCTGGGGGTCAGCGGGGGCCTTGGGGCACCCCTGCTGGACTGTAAGGTCACCCGCTGTCTGTAAACACCTCCCTGATTAGCTCCACACACCGGAATTTCAGAGAAGCCCCAAGGAGAGGGCACAGCGCGGTGCCACGTCCTGGAGAAGAGGTTTGTTTGGTGGCAAAGCCCCAGGAGCCAGCACTGAGCTCTGACCATGGGATGGGGCACACGCAGAGGCTGCAGGTCTTGGCACGGGGCACGGAGAAGACTCTGAAGCAGGGTCTGAGGTCTGACCCCCTCCTGGGGACATGGCGAGCGGTGTCATGGCCATTTAGAAGAGCTCTGCCAGCACTTCCATTAGCGAGTCATCCTTTCTGCTTGGTCAGTGTCTCACTGCAAGTCACGCTCCGGTCGTTCCACCTCCCACTGGGCACCCAGCACTGCTGGCAGGCTAAGAATCATCAAATCACTCAATAGCTTGGATGAGAAAGGACATTTGAAGGCCATCGAGTCCCACTCCCTGCCCTGGGCAGGGACATCTTCAACCAGCCCAGGTTGCTCCAAGCTCCATCCAACTTGAACCCCTCCAGGGATGGGGCAGCCACAGCTTCTCGGGGCAACCTGGGCCAGGCTCTCACCACCCTCACAGCAAAGAAGTTCTTCCCCACATCTCAGCTCCATCTCCCCTCTTTCAGTGTCAAACCCTTCCCCCTTGTCCTATGGCTCCCCACCCTGATCCAGAGTCCCTCCCCAGCTTTCCTGGAGCCCCTTGAGGGACTGGAAGGGGCTCCAAGGTCTCCCCAGAGCCTTCTCTTCTCCAGGCTGAACCCCCCCAACTCCCTCAGGGAAAAGAAGGGAAAATCACCAAGAAAGGACACCTCAGCACGCTGGGAATAGTGACCTCCTTCTCCGAGCTCCTACTCCTCTGGCATAAGAGGACACAGGGAGTTGAGCAGCCCCAATGCCCAACGCTGCAGGTGGAGATGCCGAGGCACAAAGCTCCCTCCATCCCAACCCAGGATGTAAATCATGAAAGGGAATTTATTTACACTTTGCCTTCACGTCCCCCGGGGCTGGAGGGATTTTCTGCTGAAGGGTCACGCTCTGCCCCATGCCACGTGCCCACGGGCTCCACCACGGGATGAGAAACCTCCCTTTTAAAAATTCCTGCAGAAAAGGGGCGAGGAGCTGGGACTAGGGCAGGGCTGAGAGTCCTTCCTGCCCAGATTCCTTCCCTCTGGAATGCCCTCTAGATGAGAGAAGAAGGGCGCTGCCTGCAAAAGGCAGGAGTGAGAGAGCACCAAACCACGAGGAAGCAGAAGCCCCTTCTGTGAGGAGGTTCTAAGGAGCTCTCTGGGATGGAGCGTGGAGCTCACCCTCTGTGGGGGCAAATGTCTTCTGTGTCCTTTGCCTCCGCAGAGCCCGCGAGAGCCCTTAGTCACTCAGAAACACTCGCAGCAGCCCTTTTCTTTTCATTTTTATTACCTTCTGAACGGCCCGTTTCAGCTTCTGATGAGCTGTACGATAAAAGCTGTCTCTTTTTAAGGACGAGATGGAGTGAGATGGATCACGGTGCCCCGGTCGGGTCTATAAATAGGCAAAGCTACAGAGAAACATCTCCTCCGAGGCCACGGGGAAGGAGGGAACGGGCATCTGCTGACTCCGCGTGTTTCTGCGCTGTGCTGTGCAGGCAACCTTCAGCCCCCTCTGAGAAGTCATGGCTAAGAGGGAATTCACACTAATGGCCACATGTCACACCACTATCACCTTGGGTGCGTGAGTCCACAGCGGCCTCCTGGCTAAAAGAGCTCGCTGCTGCTTGCCAGGACCCTCAAACTAACTCTGTCTCCTCCAAATCAGTTGTAGACTGGAAGGACAGAAGGTCTGTCCTGGCACTCAGAGGGAAGACCTTCATCCCTCACTTTGATTTCCACAGGAGACAGGGAAAACGGATCCCAGAAGCGGCTGAGATCTCAGGATGGTCAAGAGAGAAGTTCTCGGCAGTTTGATATCAACAAAGAACTTTCTGGTTTTTCATCCCAACACTTGGGGTTGCCTCTGTGAGCACCGTGTGGGGATAAAAGATCTTTATCCCTAATAAAAAGCCACCCATCAACTTAGTCCAGCCTAGGTGTGAAGCAGGTTGTGTCACAGAACCACCACCACTATCACCTTGGGTGCGTGAGTCCACAGCGGCCTCCTGGCTAAAAGAGCTCGCTGCTGCTTGCCAGGACCCTCAAACTAACTCTGTCTCCTCCAAATCAGTTGTAGACTGGAAGGACAGAAGGTCTGTCCTGGCACTCAGAGGGAAGACCTTCATCCCTCACTTTGATTTCCACAGGAGACAGGGAAAACGGATCCCAGAAGCGGCTGAGATCTCAGGATGGTCAAGAGAGAAGTTCTCGGCAGTTTGATATCAACAAAGAACTTTCTGGTTTTTCATCCCAACACTTGGGGTTGCCTCTGTGAGCACCGTGTGGGGATAAAAGATCTTTATCCCTAATAAAAAGCCACCCATCAACTTAGTCCAGCCTAGGTGTGAAGCAGGTTGTGTCACAGAACCACAGAATGCCAGAATGATGTGGAGTTGGAAGAGACCTCTGGAGATCATCTCCTCCAACCCCCACCCAGAGCAGGGGCACCCAGAGCAGGTCCCACAGGAACGGGTCCAGGGGGGTGGGAATGTCTCCAGAGAAGGAGACTCCAGCCCCTCTCTGGGCAGCCTCTGCCAGGGCTCTGCCACCCTCACCCCAAACAAGCTCCTCCTCAGCTTGAGGTGGAACTTCCCCTGTCCCAGTTGGGGCCCGGTCCCTCTCCTCCTGGCCCTGGGCACCACTGCAAAAAGCCTGGCCCCATCCTCCTGACACCCCCCCTTCCAGTCTTTAGAGGCCTTGAGCAGACCCCCCCTCAGCCTTCTCTTCTCCACACTCAACAGCCCCAAGTCCCTCAGCCTTTCCTCAGCACAGAGATGCTCCAGGCCCAAAAGCAGCTTTGGAGCCCTTTGCTGAACCCTCTCCAGCAGTTCCCTGTCCTTCTGCAACTGGGGAGCCCACAACTGGTCCCAGAGCTCCAGCTGGGGCCTCCCCAGGGCAGGGCAGAGGGGCAGGATGACCTCCTTTGAGGTTCTCCATGCTCTTCCTGATGCCCCCCAGGATGACACTGGCCTTCTTGGCCACCAGGGCCCGTTGCTGGCCCATGGGCATCCTGGTGTCCACAAGTCCTAGTGAGTAAAGAGGCCGAATGGAAGAACGTATTCACTGTGACCAGAGCTTGGGGGGCCCAAATGTCAGTCTAAAGCAAAGCTTATTAATGTGGGGGGGTGCAGCCGAGACAGGTCAAAGCAGAGGAGGCCCCCGCGGTGGAGCTGTTGTGAGAGGCTGATGGAGAAACGCTGCCCACGGCGGTCCTGGGTCTCACCTACAGCAACCCCAGTGGGACTAAGGCCTCCAGCAGGAGACACTGGAAGCCTTTGGGCTGCAGATACAAGGCAGAAGCGTCGGTACTGGGAGGAGGTGCTGGGTCCCAGAGGAAACGCGGCTGGTCTTACCCTTCCCACACCGGGAGGAGCAGGCAGTTAGAGCAAGCCCTCGTTGAGCACAGCAGTTTTTATCCCTTCTTACTCCAGCATCCCACCTGGGGGCAGCAGGATGTGTGGGGGGGTGTTAATTCTGCACGTGGGGTCGGGTGCTGGGCTATACTGGGCTATTCTACTGGGCTACGGCAAAATACCTCCCCCGGCACTTGCAGGCAGGGCTGGGCTCAGGGGGCTCAGGCTGGATATTAGGAAAAATTTTTCACTGAAAGGGTCATCAGCCATTGGAATGGGCTGCTCAGTCTAAAGCAAAGCTTATTAATGTGGGGGGGTGCAGCCGAGACAGGTCAAAGCAGAGGAGACCCTCGCGGCGGAGCTGTCGTGAGAGGGCTGATGGAGAAACGCTGCCCACGGTGGTTCTGGGTCTCACCTACAGCAATCCCAGTGGGACTAAGGCCTCCAGCAGGAGACACTGGAAGCCTCTGGGCTGCAAATACAAGGCAGAAGCGTCGGTACTGGGAGGAGGTGCTGGGTCCCAGAGGAAACGCTGGGAGGAGCAGGCAGTTTGAGCAAGCCCTCGTTGAGCACAGCAGTTTTTATCCCTTCTTACTCCAGCATCCCA